AATTTACATACATGTTCTTCGCACTGAAAATACTAGTGAATAATATGATACATTCTGTGGGAAGACAAACTCCTTTTACCTATTTCTCTATGTGGATAATAATGTGAAAATGGTCAAACAGAGAAGGCAGTTGAGAATAACAATGTAAGTGATCCAGTCATACAAATAAAGGGCATTTGTACGGAGGCAGGGTAGCACTGCATTTAGATCTATAATCTTTGGGTCTAAGGTTGTGTTTCTTGTGTTAAAGTTTTGTTTCATGATTCTGGGAAAGATACTTAACCTGTCTGAATACTTAAGGTTGCTTTCTTATTAGTAAGAAGTAGTTACCTCTTGAGTTTTGTGTGTGTGTGTGTGTGTGTGTGTGTGATGTGTAGTGTGAGAGAGAGTGAGAGAGAGAGAGAGAGAGAGAGAGAGAGAGAGAGAGAGAGAGAGAGAGAGAGAGACAGAGGTGGTATCATTTTAATCATAGAGGCCAATGCCAGGCATAGAGAAACTGCTTAAAATAGGCCAGAGTTTCTACCAATTTTGGAAATTTTTATTAAAAGTAACTGAAACTCCTGCTTCTAGACATGGCTAACAAACTTGTTCCATGTCGTTTCTGCTATTAATGACAAACAAGGAAAACACATTAAATATGAAAAGCAAAACAACTTGGAGATGGCCATCAAAAACCATGGTTGAAAGGGCAGTACTTGAGAACATCCACAGAAGACACTTGATTAGCAGAGACCTGGGGCCCAGAAAGGTAATAGAACATCAGAGTGTGTCTTCATCTGAGGAAAGTGCCTTCTGGTGTCTAAGGCAAAGGATCCATAGATATTCGTGCTTCATTAGATATGGCTGAAAGACTACTGTCTTAAAGTCAAGGCTAACCAGCAGCCCACCAGCCTGAAGAGCCAGGAGAGAGCAGCAGCCCACAAGCCAGGAGAGAGTGGAGAATCTGTTCATTCCCCCAGTTCCCTAGATGAAGATAACATTTCAATCCTAAACGTATCTCTTAGTACCATTTAAAAAAGATCTAGAACTTGATGAAAAATTACTGAGAATATAATGAGACATTATTGATGAATGAAAAAGAAAGAGGGATAGACACACAAATAGTTTCATACGAATACAGACACTGGAGTGAGTACAAACTGTGGAAGGGTTGTTATTCATATATTCAAAGACAGGTGTTTTGCTAGGAAGGTACTTAATTTATCCAGATAAATAAGTCTACAGTTGGTAAAAGATGAAATTGAGTACTGCAAGACTGAAAGATACAGTAGAGCAGTAGTTGGTAATATGAGGGGAAAAAATAAAAAACTGCGTGTCTCTTATTTGGATTCAAACCAAGCAAACCATTTTGATGTTAGCTATAAGAAGCAATCCAATGAAAAAAGAACATATAATGTGAAACTGGGTTTCAAACCTTTGGTTGAACAATGCAGACCAACCACCTCAGAAGAAGGAACCATCTGAAAGAATCTATGCTGCTACTTCAACTCTCACTCTACAGCTGCAGAGAACAGCTGGACACCGCTGAAGAAACAGCGAGAGCTATGTGCAAATCCGTATCTATGCAGTTTCAGGAGCAGCAGCAACTCCCTAATGCAATCCTATCAGAAACAAGATTATTATGGGAATGAGAATCAATTTTCTAATTTATCGATCAATCCTTATCTGCTCTAGCACTGTGAAAAATGAATGCTGTTGGAAAATGAATATTTTGGAAGCTTGAAAGTCCTTGAGAAAAGTTGAGAATTGGTTGACTGGTATGCCAATGGTCATTCAAAGAAACTTACATGATCAAGAGTACAATGGAAATGAAATTTAAGGCATGAAATGCATTATCAGTTTTAACTTGCAAAAAAAAAAAAACATACTCCAAACATAACCCGATCAAACAAAACCGGCAGCTTGTAAAAAGCAAGTCAGGGCTGAGGTAATGGTACTTATTTCCCTCTTTGCAATTTCAGTTCTTGATTCTGGATAGACTGTTATTACTTATAATATACATTGTTTCAACCATGGCTTTACAGACTAACTGGGATAGCTCTTCTGATTATGCTTCTATCTGTACAATGTGTGAGAGTCAATTAAAAAGATGATTAACAGCAAATATCAACAAGAATTTATTGAAAACGCAAAAAAGTTGGTTTATAAGTTGTTATTCACAGTCGGAAAATAAAAAGATCAAGAGGCAAAGGGCACCAAAGAAGGAGATTTAAGGCTGGATTATACTTTATCTAATTGTGGGTCTTTAAGTATATCATTTATTTTTTTAATTCATATAAGTAATCATGTATGAAACAGTTTCATAATCGATCCTCAAGCGTTTGTTGCTCATCTTCTCTGTGTTGGTGCTTTGATGAAACATTGAAGTTATACAGCATCTAGTGATTGCTGAACAGCTGGATACCACATGTATAAGTACATTGTAAAGAATGATAAGCTTTGCAAAGTACTACATTTTGCTGTCATATGGTAATAAACATTTTTCTTGAGTGCATGGAACATCTAGTTACCTCAAATTCACAGGGAGTTTACATGTGGTGTGTGTGTGTGTGTGTGTGTGTGTGTGTGTGTGTGTGTGTGTGTAAGTCAGAGATCTTCCACAGATGTTATTTTTAGGGGATAATTTACCTAATTTTTCTAGAGAGGGTCTCTCATTGGCCTTGAGTTTTCCGGGTAGGCTAGTTTTACGAGTGAGCCCTAGGAATTTGCCTGTTTCTACCTTCTCATTCTTAGAAACACAAGTATATATCACCACACCCATTTTGTTTTAGGACAGGTTCTGGGGAATTGAAATCGGGTCCGTGTATCTGCACAGTAAGAACTTCATCAGCTGAACCATCTCTCCAAATCTGCAAAAAAACTCTTATTTTGGAAAATGTTACAAAAAGAATTTCAGAAACATTTTTTTCTTGCGTTTCTGAGGATGGAACCAAAGACATTGGTTATATTAAACAAACATTCTAGCACTGAGCTGATGGGGGAAGTTCTGTGTATATGTCAATAAAGCACTGTTGGCCAATAGGGAAGCAAGATAGGTGGGATTAGGAGTCGAGGAGGACTCTGGGTAGGAGAAACACAGGAAGTCAAGATGTAACTGCCATAGGGATAAGAAGCCTGGAAAGTTCTCCGGTAAGAGAAATACTTAGATTAACAATTATGGGATAAATACTTAAGTCAGAGCTAGCCAGTAAGAAACAACCAAGGCCAACAGCTTCATAATTAATACAGCGTCTTGTGTATTATTTGGGGACTGCAACACGGCAGAGCCCAGGAGACTGGCGGGGGATAAACCAAAGTGGCTGGCAAGGAAAAGGCTTCTCTTTACACTGAGCTACATCCATTTTAGCAATACGTTTTACACAGAGAGATGTATGACAGTTATCAGAAATAAAAGGAAAGAAACTGCTCTCTGAAAAAAGGGTACAAAGTCAAATACCAACAAGCAAAGGACCTCTGTGAACTTATAGGATAGATTAGAGATATGTTGCCCCAGTCCACGAAGCGAGGTGACAACTTATCATCTTAAAAATCCCCATGACAAAGCAGGAAAACCACAATGAAAAATATTTCTTTGTAAAAATGGACAATTATGAAAAATATTATGCAATGCCAACTGAGAACAGAGAGGAAACAGGAGAATAACTTGAACTCTGCAAAGTGAGATAGTCCTTCAGAACAGTGTAGATAGAGATGGAGATTTTGATCATAGATACTAGAGAGTGATGCTGGGATAAGAAGGCAAGTATCTGTTTTGACATTTTTGACAGTGGGGAAGATAGAAGGCATCAGACTTACTGACCTTGATCTTTCCAGAAATAATTAAATCAACCATGATAATTGAAAACTACCATTCTTATATGTTCCACTAATGTTCCAGAAAATCTCTTAGGGTACAATAATCTCTGCTATGAATGAGGCTGCTAAGATCAATTGTCAGAGAACTATTCCTAGCTTCCAGGGAAGGCTACATAAGAAAGCAGTGGGCAATGATATCTAAACCTAGCTCTGGATAAAGTGATTTAGATCAGGACACAACCCATATCATTCTCTATCTTCAGAGTACCCCAAGGAAATAAAATTCAATGTTGAAAATTATTTTCCAAAGAATGAAAATCACCAGCATAGTTGGTAGATTTTAAACATTTGTTGTATTTAGTTTAAGTTTTATGTTATTCACTTTATGGCATAGGTAGATTTCAAAAGAGAAGATCACAATGAATGGATCTGTATTACAATCGCTGAGTGACTATGTGTTAACCACACCTACTAATTTACATTATCAGAATCACTCTTGTAACTACCAACTGCCTTAAAAATTACATCTGCCATTCTTGTTACTTTATTTGTATATTATTCATCTAGCAGCCTCCAGTATACTGTCAGCAGAATTGGAATCAAATGCATTATTATTCTAGTCTCAACATTCTGCAGAGTTTAAGGTTACAATTTAGTAAATTTCATTTGCCAGTATGTTAATATAAAAAAGATATAATTTAAACTCCCTTGTTCAGTTGGTCAGTAAGGTCCTAATAATTTTAACTCTACTTAAATCTAAATCTATCACATTTTAATAAATATTAGATGGAAAAATTATATAGGTGAGTTTCCTGGAACTCTTAATGCTAAAACACTCATTTTCATGTCAACTAATATTTGGCAATCAGAGAAATCAACAAGCCAGACCCCACTGAACCTAAAAGTATAAATAATTATAGAGAGATGAAAAATCCTTTAGAAGTCAGCATCTATTCTTAGTTTTCTTATAGTATTATAAGTATTCATTAATTACATAACTTTGTGTCTTAATGCCAATGATATCAGAAAACCAAATTTTAACCTGAAGTCCTTAGCAAAAAGAAATGATTTTTTAAAAGGGTTCTTTATTCAACAAAAGAAATCAATAAGTAAGAAAATGATTTGAAGCCCATGACTACAATATCTTTACATTCAAAAGAAAGGTCATGGTCAATGGGAAGAAATATCTTCAACTTGTCACTTACTTCTTTGTATCCAAAGATGATCCGTCCATCCATGAGGAGTGTTGCCTGGAATGTGAAGCTTCCCAGGTTATAATTATCCTGCAGGTGCACATGATCCCACTGGACAACAAGTGCTGTGCCTGGAACCCAACGGATAACAGAAGAAATGCCATGAGAACAATATATGCCCAATTCTGGAAGAGCATGCATACACCTTTATCTAGATGTCACATCAGGTCATTATCCCACTTCAACTGTATGTGAGTAATGAAATTCTGTTACTAAAATAACATTTGGGGTGTGTTTGTGTGTGTGTGCGCATGCGCACACGTGCACGTGTGCATCTTGCCCAGTATGATGGATTTAATTTCATTAATGTTAATGAATACTATCTGCTTAGATTTCCATGAGCTGCTTTCTAAATAGCATAGTAAATTGAATGAATTTCCAATAATTTTGACAAATGCTAAGAAAGAATGGCTAGACATAATAGCTAAGCTCACATTTAAAAGATATAACCATGTCTTTTGGAACTCACAATTTTACTCTTCTAATGAAGAGGTCACTTTTACAGATAATAAGACTTCTCTCTTATGAACTATGTCTGTGTTTGCATTTTTGTTTCTTTGCTTTCAGGAGACTAGAGAGCAGCTTGCAGGGTCCTGGGCTGATTCCTGAAGGCCCCTTGAAGGATATAGACTGTAACTTCTCTGGTGTTCATCTTAACTCTGGTGCCTTAATATTCTTGCCTTTATAGGAAACTATTGAGGCAAAAATGTTAGTTTACAGTGCTAAATACTCCGGTCACCAATGAGAATTCATGCTTTGGTTTCACTGACATTGGGTATTCTTTAAGAAGACAATAAACAGCTGTAACCTTCACATAGCTCTAAATGTTGGCTTTTATCTTTAGTTAAACACATCATATACATTATATATTGCTTGAAATATATAATTTGTTTGTAACACATACATATATGTGCTCCCATATTCACATACACACACACACACACACACACTACTCATACACACATTCTGATCCAGTGTCTAGCACATGCATGCAATTATAGAAAGACTGTGAGAGTAAACCTTGAAACACCCATATCAGCACCACTTTGGGTTTATTTTGAAATGTATATTTTTAAAAGTAACATAATTCTTTATTGCTTCTTTATGAATTTCACATCATGCACCCCAATTCTATTTACTTCCCAGTCCCTTCATATCTGCCCCTCACCACTGCAGCATCTCCCCCCAAAAAGTAACCCTCCAAATTGAGAACAAAAAACCCAAAAAGCCCAGCTTGCTCCTCCATCTTTCCAAAATCTTTCCCCTTATCCCAACATCTTTGGGAGCTCTGTTGTGTCACACAGTATACCTTTTTGTCCAATCAGCCCCACTGGAAAAATGTTCATTGTGATGAGTTATTGGTCTGGTTCAAGGTCTCTGGCATTCTTTCCATAATCCCTGGACCCTCACCAAAACTCCTCTCAGATACCCTGCTGTTACTCCAGTCATGAGATCCCATGGCTATTGTTCTGCAGGACTAGTCCCTTCAGGTACTCTAGCAGGTTAGAGATGGTGTAGATTTTAGGGTGAGCCAACCCAAGGTCGTGGATGTGGGTCCTGGATGGTAGCTGAGTCGGTAGTTCTAGGCCACTGGGAGCTTCCCCCTCAAGGATGGGCAGAGACAGTTTTTCTAGGTTTGTGCAATCAGGGTCAGATCTCCTGTGGTGAGAGGTGGGGCCATCTTGCAGTGGGTTGGGCAGCTCTCCCATGAGGGGCAGAGCTAGTTCTTTTGCTACAGTGTCTAGCCAGATTAGGGGCCAGCTATCCCAGGGCCAGTGAGGGGCAGAGCTGGCTCAGCACAGCTCTCATATTTCAACATACATGATTCCTATGACTCCCCTGGCAATACGTGGCATGAACACCAACGCAGATCTCAACTGCAGCAGGACCATGGATCCTGACATGGTCTTCAGCGGCAGCTTGACACGAGGCCTCATCAGCACAGGCCAACCAGATAAGTATGGCCCCAGTGGCAGCATTACCTTATGACACCAAAATGTTCTCAAGCGGCTGACCACATGCCACGGAATCTGCATGGCCCTCAGTGGCAACAGGAGCCACAGACATTGACTGCTGTAGTGCCATGGACCCAGACATGGCCCTTGGCAGCAGCTGTGGCTTGGATGATACAGTGGTCTCATATGACAGCACAGGCCACTCCAATTGGCATATCTCTGTTATCCAGTCTACAAGATTCTCCGAATTGAGAAGTTAAAACTTTTTCCCCCAAAAAAACCACTCTGAAGATTATAAAGCATATGAAAGTTTTGAGACCCAGGCAAAACCTCATGGGAGGATGGGAGCTGTATGCAGTTTTATGAAACTCAGAACTCTTGACCATTCAACTTCAGAGTAGTAGTCTAAACCCATAAGTCTGGTTCTACAGCTCCAGCACTTCTAATTGCACCAGATAGCTATGCATCTTGCACCAGATCATTATCTCCCTTCCCATGATTTTTAAACAATTTGCTTGCTTGGCTGGTTTGCAAAGTTTTATGTACACTGGAATAACTTGGAGATGCTCTCAGCTGGGACCTCCTGGGACCCTTCGCTATGGTTTCTGATCCATGGTCTAGACTGGGGCTGACAGTCCCCATAGTCTCCTACAACAGTCTCAAACTTATTTTAAAAGTCTAAAGTTCAATGTCTCTTCTGAGATTCATGCAATCTCTAGACTGTAACCCCCTGTAAAATAAAAATAAAAAACCAGATGACCTACTTCCAACATATAATGGCACAGGATATACATTACTATTTCAAAATATAGGAAAGGAGGATAATGAGGAAATACTGGGCCAAAGCTGAAAACTGGCTGGGCAAACTCCAAACTCTGCATCTCCATGACTAACGTCAAAAAGGTCTTTAGATCTCCAATTCCTTTCAGCTTTGTTGACTCTAACACACTACATTCTCTTGGGCTGGTTCTACTTCCTACTAGCATTCCTCAGCAAGCATCCAATAACTCTGGTTCCTCCATTATCTTGGGGTCTCCAAGCCTAGGCTTCAACTTGAAAGCTTCACTCAATGGCATCTCTGGTCCTCCATTCAGGGACACCCCTGAAACATGCCTGGCCTCAGCAGCTTTCCTTAGAAGAGGCAAATTGCACAGCCCTTCTCTTCTATTCTTAAATCTAAAGGTAGAATCATGTGGCCAAAGTCGACAAGTTCTACTGCTTCCTGGGGCTGAAAGATGGTTCCCATGTTCAATTACCACTTCATTAGCTTTTTGGTTTTGATGGTAACTTTCACTGCCTACGCATGGCTGTCCTTGAAGTTGCTTTATAGACCAGGCAGTCATGAAATTCAGAGATCCTTTAGCATCTTCTTTCCCAGTGTTGGTATTAAAGGCATACACCAGCACAGCCTGCTCTAAACTCTTCCTTAATTCCTTTCTCAAACTGGAAATTTAGCTGGGTTGGATCTTGCCCTGAGGTCACCACTCCCTTTAGTCCATTTCTTACTCTGTTTATCTCTTTGAACACAGTTCCAGGTGCTCCTTTCTCCTCAAATTTTACATTGTATAATTTACCTTGCTCAGCTCACTTCTTTTCATTATAAACCTTCCTCAGTGTTACCACCAATAACTACATGACAGAGTCTATACTAGGCTGTTTTGACATTTCCTCTACTAATGGGATTCATCCAAAATTCTTCATTTTAGCCTCAGACTTTTCAGACAATAGCAACAGCACAAACATTCTTCACCAAAATATCACAAGTAGCATCTCTAGGACATATTAAAATTATTCTCCTCTGAAACCTCTTGAACCAGGCACCCACAGTTTAAACTACACTCAGCACCATTGTATTTCATGTTCCTACTAGGATAGCCCATTAAGCTTCAGTTAAAGCATTCAACTACCTTTCTAAGTCACAGTTCCAGAACTAGCTGTAATTTTTAAATAGTCTTCTTATTTAAATAATTTGATTAATTGATTATAAACTTTTAAAAGATATCAGAATATAGAAATAACACCAAAACATTGTTGAACTCAAGCCTAGAACTTTTAACCATAGAAAATGTTCAGCCCTGACATGAGTGGAGACACAGGTATCATAATATTAAACTGGAAAATATTAAAGCACACTGTGATGTGGGATGTCCTTTTGTTTGCTGTGGATATGTGTTTCTTTTATTATATTATATAATATAGTTAAGTGGGAAATCCAAACAGAGTTACAGAGAGAAAGAAGGCAGAGTCTGGGAGATGCCATGTACCTGAAGGGGAAACAAGATGTGAGGTAACAAGCTATAAGCTCATGGTAAAATATAAAATAATAGAAATGGCTTTATTTAATTATGAGAGCTAGTTAGTAATATGCCTGAGCCATTGGCCAAAAAATTGTAATTAATGTTAAGACTTAGAGTGGTTATTTGGGAACTGGCAGGTGGGAAAACAAACAAACAAACAAACAAAACCAACCCCCCCAAAAAACCCTCTGACTGCAACACTGATAGTTAAAAAAATTTAAATAATCTTACATGTACAAGAGTCTTCTGATCATGCCTCCAGGTCTACCTCACAAAGGTTTTCAATGTGTGCCTCCTGCCACAGGTAAAGATAGACCAGTAACTGTCTCCAATCCAGAGACAATTTACCTGCATACAGCTATTTTCTCCATATAGCTCCTCTCGTGTATTTGCATTTGATACGAGAAAATGCAATGGCTTCCCATTCTTTGTGCAAATGACAGGTTAACATAAATTGATACTTGAGTGCATATTCTGGTAAAGATATTTCTACCCAACTGCTAGCAATGGGTGAAAAAACAGCACTGCACGGGAAAGGCTTGACTTTGTGTTGTGGCATGGTGGGCATACATTTGCTTATGTTTTGTGTTTCTCTATATTATGAATGGAAATATTCTGCAGTAAAATGCTTTTATTGAGTTTCAAAATTTGCCAAATATTTCTACTATTTTGTTTACTGGAGAACCGAGGTTTTAAGTTTCAGATCTTACTGAATAGTGCTGACATTGTACACTCAATAATAGACAGGTGAGTATGGGTGTCTTTGCCTTCCGTTCACTACAGTGAACAATGTTGGTGCAGGAGTAAAATAAAGCCATC